CCCAGGAACAGTTAGTTGGTGAGTTCGAACTGACATTTTCAGTTAGCAGCCTAGCACTTAACCATTATGCCACCAGGGCTCCTTGGGTACCCCATAAATTTAAGGTGAATGAACAAATGAACAGAGTATCAGAGTAACACCTATAAGGAGAGATTCTAGGCCAACAAACAAACAAACTCACTGCCACTGAGTCGATTCTGACTCACAATGACTCTTCCTTGAGTTTCTGAGGAGGTATCCTTCTGAGGCGTGGCTGGTGAGTTTGAACCACCAGCCTTCTGGTTAGCGGTCAAATGCCTTAGGCACTATACCTACCACCAGAGCTCCCAGATTCTAGGCCAGAACCCTAGAAATCAGAGGTACTGAGTATCTCCAAAGGCTGGAATGCCAGATGCAGCTAATTCAGCAGTGGTTCAAGATCTTTGTAAGGGTCCCCAGTTCTCTTCCTGTAGTCCCTGCAGCCAGTTCACTGCCCATCCTCGAATCTGGCAGAGGGTAAGAGGTTTACTCTCTGGAGGCACTGAACCAGAGAAGTTCTGTGCTTGCAAATACCAGGTACAGTGGAAAACTTAGGTAAGACGTGATACTGAAAATATGAACAGATAACCAAGATCACCATTTAAGGAAAATTTCTAACATGCAAAAAGTGGCCAAATAAAGAGGACAGAAAAGGAACTCTGAGGAAACAGTGACAATGTGGGGAACAGAAGGGTGATGCAAGATTATGCAAAGAAAGAACCCATTATTCCCCAGCAAGCCTGACAAAAACAGATTTAAAGAAATCCATTCCTCTTCCACCAAATAATAGTTCACTTATATGCAAGCTTTCTTCAAGACTAGTGTAACACCCCTTTCTCCACCCCCCCAAAAAACACTCAGTGCGACTATCATCACTTCAAACATACAAACCTTCATCAGACTTGACAATGACACCAAGAATAATGGTGAGTCTGATGTTGCCAGGAATGGTTTATGTAATTTATGTTTCCTATTCCCCTAACACTCCTAAGATAAAAAGATGGTGCCTCCTGCTCTCCATGGCCACTTCTCCCCAGTCCACCAGCCGGGACAGTTCACTATCCTCAAACTTAACACAATCGTGGAATCTGTTTTTCCACCGAAGAAAGATCAAACCAAAATTACATCAAAAAGATTTCAAAAAGAAAATCAAAGGTAAGAAGAAAACTTGTTTTGTTGAGACAACCAGATAGCCTATTTTTCACGCTGTACAGAGCGCAGAGAGTACTAAAGATTGCACTATTCTCTTTGGAGTGGCCTGTCTAGCCTGTTCTTCAAACCAAGATGTTATCATCTTTTATAATTTCTCACAATAACATGTTCCACTTGGGGAATATGATAAACTTTCTTCATTTTTTTTTTAAATCAAAATATCAAACATTCACTACAGGGATTCCCAACAATGAATACTATTCTAATATTTAATACCACTATTTAAGAGTTCTAAGAAACATTCAAAAAACACAAATTATCTTTAAAAAGCTAAAATTTTATCTTTCCTGTTTACCATAAAAACTGAATGCTACAAGAAATAAAATTGTAGTCTTCTGAGAAGCCTAACACAAACCCTCTAACATAACAGTTTGTGTTTGGGATTTCAATTTTAACTAAAAGCCTATTTTGTTCTTGTTGCCAAGGATGAATGCTTTTTGATTTTTCTTTTCTTTTCTTTATAAAGCCATTTATTTGGCAATATCAAGCAAATCATACTGTATGAGGTTTTAGGTTTCAATTATACATTCTTTGCTTCATAATAAGTCATGATTTTCACTTGAAAAAACAAACACAATCAAGTTCTGTGTCTAATCCATAGTGCCCCGTGAAGCAAAATGAATTCCTAATGCTTTAACTGTCATCCAGTTATTACTTATGGTGGCACAGTGCCTAAGGCATTTGACGCTAACTAGAAGGCTAGCCATTCAAACTCACCAGCCACTCCTCGGAAGAAAGATTGGGCAATTTACTTCCGTAGAGATACTGCCTCCGAAACCCAAGGAGGGTTGCTATGAGTCGGAATTGACTCTTGACTCAAAGGCAGTGAATTTTTTGTTTGTTTGTTTGTTTGTTTATGAGGCAATAAATGACATGCTGAACAGCAATGCAGACCAACGAGGCCCTTTTTCCTAAGAAACTCAGCTATCTGAAGTGGAAGATCAGTTTTGGTTTTTTAATTTCTAATTCATTGTAGTCTAATAATTTTAAAGATTTAACTAAAACAAGTTTCTAGAAAAATGAATTAAAAAAAAAAAAGACAAAATAAAATCCCAAATGTTTTATTATTAGAGTCAACAGACATCAAATTACTCTGCTAAATTGCTACCCAAGTTTCTAAGCACTTAGTTTTTGTTCATTTATCTCAACCCAGCAGTCCAGGCACCACACTTTGAGAAGCACTGCTTTAAACTCCTTAATCTAAGACCACGTTTCATCATTTGATGACAGGGTCATTGATTGCAATCCCCACATTATAACAGCACTCTTCTCACTTCCTCTATGTTTACCATCTCTATTGCTCCTTTTTTCCTATCCCTTCTTGCCTTCTGAACTTTATCCCTGGGCAAATGTTGCCCTTTTGATCTCATATGACTATTTGTTCTAAGGAATGTGTACTTCCCTGGGTGTAACTGTTCACCTGACAGGCCTGCCTCTTGTTTGGCTAAAAGTTGAGCCCAGGGACAGGTGGACAGGGACCTTTTGTATTATTATTAAAAAAAAAAAAAACCTCACATATTTTTCCCAGACATGCTTCCACAGTTTAGAGTGACCAAATTATACTAGCCTCCTGCCACACCTGATAATCTTGATTCATCTTTGCAATTCTTACCTCATCTCTAAAAGACAAATGATTCACTCCAACTTGTGTAGCAACTATGAAACTATGCAGCTTCACACTTTTTTTTCTCCATTTGCTTCAAAATATTTCAATTCCTTAAAAAAAAAAAAAAATCACTGCTTAAAACAAAAGTACTTTGTCCCTAAGACATCCTTCCAACCTGGAACTGAGGCCATTTCTCGAGAACAACTTTCAGCCAAATGACAGACAAACCCATGAAATAAACAATAATACCCTAGAGGAATGTGCTCTTTATAACAATCAATTAATTACACAAGATCAGAAGGACAACATTTGCACAAAAGCAAAGATGAGAAGGTAGAAAATCCTGACAAAAAGAAACAGGGAATTCACGGCAAAAATGGGGAGAGTGCTGACACATTGTGGGGAATGCAACCAATGTCATGGAATACTTCATGTCCAAACTATTGAATGCGAAACTACTCTGCTCTGTAAACTTTCACCAAAAGCACAATAAAAAATTAAAAACAAGAGTACTTTGTGTCTAGAATTATAAGGGAGGCTGGTGTGAAAATACATTGTGTTTATGATACAATGCAATGCACTGCCGCACTGCCGTCAAGTCAGATCCAACTCACAGCAACCCCTCCTTGGGTTTCCGAGGCAGTTATCACTATGGAAGTAGATTGCCCAACCTTCCTTCCAAGGAGTGGCTGGTGGATTTGAACCACCAGCCTTCTGGCTAGCAGTCAAATGCCTCAGGCACTACACCACCAGACAAAGACCAACAAAAAGATAAGACTCACACAGTCTCTGATGGGCAGTGTTTGGCTTTCATCTGTCTTCCAAGGTTGGGTATAGGGAATTTTGGGGGTGGGGGTTGTGCAGACACTGTTCCTGCACAGCTACCAGAGAAAGGACATGTAGCTGCTGCAGCAGCCCCAGCTTACTGTGCTGGTCCCAAAGCCTGAATGGAAGTCTGCTGTATCCTCAAAACAAATGATCAAAGTAGTCACTGCGTTCTTGCACTCTGGCTGGATCTGCTCCTGGGGAACTGCTGCTGCTGAAAAACATCTCTGAGGAGGTGGGAAGAAGGGTGGGAGATAAAGAAAATGAGGAGGGCAGCGCTGGGAATGACTTACGTAACTGATGGCTCCTGTCCTTCCTCACGCTTCCAACATAAAAAAGATGTATCAGAAAGAAGAGTGAATATGAACACTATACTATCCAATAGGAGTCGTGGTGGCCCAAATGGTTGAGTGAATAAGAACACTATACTATCCAATAGGAGTCGTGGAATGGAAGAAAAGTCGCTCAATGGAAGAAAAGACCTGGCAGTCTGCTTCCCAAGAAAACCCTATGGGACAGATCTACTGTGTCACGTGGAGTCACCATAAGTCAAAAGCAATTGAATGGAACCTAACAACCATTATCCAATAAACAAAACTGTGTGTTGATAATTGTTAGAAATTACCACCTCGTTAAAATGAGAACAGAGTAATAATTTACCAATCTGTTGCTTGCTGATCAATATTATTAACAGTTCAAGGCATTACAAATAATAAACCAATGTCTTGGTAGGTTTTCTCAAACAAGAAAAATAAACTATTACGAATTCTCAAAGATAGAAAGGAGAAATTGACAGCACAGCCTTCAAAACTTGCTCAATACCTTTAATAAAAGCGGAAATCAGTTACTCCTGTGAGGACCCAGCACTTTCAAGAATAGTTAATGATGGATGACAACTGAGGAATAGAAATACGTTTAAGTTCTATCAAGACCTGAAAAATGAAAATGTAACTAGAGATGGGGTTGGAGGTTTATCAAGGAAGTGCAGAAAAAACCACGCAAGTCACGAAGCATGCTTTGGCTGGATATGCGCAGCCTGCCCAGCCAGGTAAAGCGGGACTGTCAGATGAAAGGAATCGAGTGTGCGGTCCGGGGCACACGCTGGGCCCCTCCTGCCTTTAGCCGGACCGGAAGGGCGCGCAGGTTCAGCTTGGCCTGAGCAGGGAATGCGGGGATCCACCTGGTCCCCCGCGCGCCATCCTGGACCGAGGTTCCGCCGGTGCTGCAGGTGGGTGCATCCCGGCCGGTTGAGGAAGACTTGCTCGCTCGCTTGTCCCTGCCTGTTCCCGAGGGCTGGGCGAAATCCGAACCGCTACCCCGACACCCGCTCCCCGGTCACCTTCTGCGCGCTGGAGCCGCAGATCCGCGCCGCCCGGTCATAGACGTGGCCGCGGATCACGGAGCTGCCCACGTCGAGCCCCAGGACGAAGCCTGCGCGCAGCTGGTCTGGCGCGCCCTGCTCTGGGCGGCCCTGCTCCGGGGCGGCTGGCAACCCAGACATCCAGAACCTGCACGTTCCTCCGCTGCAGCCTCCTTCCGAACCAAGACGCTATGAACACCCGCACCTCACTGTCCCCGCCACCTCCCCCGCCACGCCCCGTCCCGCCTCCTTCGCGAGATCCGGGGGTGGCCCAGTCCCTGCCGCGGCCCCGCCCCGACGCGGTGGCGTCACGGCTACGCAGGGTGTATTTGAGGAGCGCGCAGAGGCGCTCTGGTCGGGGGCTGGTGGAGGTGAGGCTTGCGAGACTAGTGAGCTCCGAGTCAGAGGTCACCAAGTTGGCCTCGCCTCCTTCTCTAAACACGTATACCGTTGTCAGCGTTGTTCGTGACTTTGACCTTATTTCCCTTGTAACTTCGAGCAGTCCGAAGTAGCGCCTGCGTTATTTTTACCCCTACTTACATTTTATGAATCACTACTAAGAAAAAGTGACAGGGGTTAAAGCGCTTGGGTGCTAACCGAAAGGTTGGCGGTTCGAACCCACCAGCCGCTCCGCGGGAGACAGACAAGAGAACCTGCTTCCATAAAGATTTAGAGCCTTTGGAAACCGTATGGGACAGTTCTGCTCTGCCTTATAGGGTCGGTATGAGTCGGAATGGACTGGACAGCAACAGACTTGGTTAGGTTTTGGGTTTTCTCAGAGCCCCTTAACTTCCACTGCTGACCTCTGACCTTCACATTGGGCAGTCCAGCTCTCGGGAAGGATCCTGACTGTAGAGAGTGGGAAGAGAGAATACGTGCTCCATCAACTCTCCATAATCACCCGCACAGAAAAAAACATTATCTCCTTTTTGTAAAATTATAAAAATACTGTTGTTGTTTGGTGCCCTTGAGTCGGGTCCGACAACCTTATGTATAAGGGAAGGAAACATTGCCCAGTCCTATGCCAGCCACCTTCAGACCACTGATATGTTTGAGTCCATTGTTTTGTATATCTTGTCAATGCATCTCATTGAGCCTTTTCCTTATTTTCACTGATTGTATTTTATCAACCATGATGTCTTTTTTTCAGTGCTTAGCCTTTTCTGATAGCACATCCAAAGTTACGAAGTTGAAGTCTTGCCATCCTTACTGCTAAGGAGCATTCCTATATTGTATTCTATATAGACATGGGTTTTTGTGAAAATGCTTACCAGTGCAAAGTGATACATGAAGTAAAAAGTAATAGACACTCACTTTAAACCAAACTGTTCTTTCAGCCAAATCGTCACTTTAACCACCTTGCTTTCAGCCAGTTTGACTGAAACAGTTTTTTGCACACATCACTGAAGCTTGGAACATACACCCAGAAGGGTATGTTCTTTTCTCTTTATATCCTATCTCTGTCCAGTAGTACCTCATTTGTTCCAACTGGCCTCAGGACTGCCTTCATCAAATATATATCAATATAGCACTTTGGAAAAAGAAAATGACTTTTGTATTCCCCAATGTTAATATTTAGTATGCTTTTCAAAGTGAAATTTCTTGGGCTTCTTGAACTCTGACACATCCTTTGTTGTCCTGTTTATAAATTATCTTGAATATTATCAAAGAATCATGTAAAATCGTAATAATATGAGAACAAAACCAAAAACCAAACTCCCTGCCGTTGAGTCAGTCCCAAATCATAGCAACCCCTTCTTGGGTTTCTGAGGTGGTATCTCTAGGAAGTAGATTGCCCAATCTTCCTTCCGAGGAGTGGCTGGTGGGTTTGAACTGCCAGCCTTCTGGTTAGCAGTCAAATGCCTTAGGCACTATGCCACCAGACTTGTTAGTCTAATGTTTCTTAATCTATTTCAGATATTGAAGGATTTTGAGACTGTGATGAATGCTGTCTTCAGGGAAAAAAAATACACATATAAAGTTTTACAGGTTCTGCGTAGAAAATAAATTAAGCATGAAGATCTCAGATTAAAACTGGGAAACTGATTTCCTTAACTTCAGACAGATTGCTGCCTAAGAAGATGGGGGGAACAAAGGGATACTGTTTCTTTCAGAGCCTCATCCCCCTCCTGCTGTGTTCACTGTTCTCTGTTCTCACCTCTTACCCTCCTCAGCTGTCAGGAAAAGGAGCAACTTGATCACAAAGCACCGAGCTCAGAGGCTCCCAGGACCCTTTTGCTAGTGAGTTAATCTATTGTTCTTCATTCAGAGCCACTGCTGCTCTGAGCTCCATGGTCTTGGCTTTCATCTGGCCAGGCTGCTACTTCTCATTCTGGATTTGGCCTTAAGGGTAGCCAAATGACCTCACAGGCTCTTTCCCCACCACTCTCATCCTTATACTTGCTCCTCTTTCAGTGACCCTGGATTATAACATGCTCAAGAAACTTGGATTCAGTTCCTCAAGGCTGGATCAGAAAGTATATGAGGGCCACCATTGACTGTCACATCCGAAAGGGTATGGTGCTTTGGGATTAAGTCCAGGGACCTTGATACCCTCTTCTTCCAAGGAAATAGTATCTCTCCACCCTAGAGTGACCAACTATCCTGTTTGCCCAGGACTGAGGAATTTCTTGTGAAACAGGACTTTCATTATTAAAACTAGGACAGCCCAGGGTAAACCAGGACAATAGGTCACTCTCAGTCTGTGCTGTTGTTGTGTTGCTGTTATGTGCCGTCGAGTCAGACCCGACTCATAGTGATCCCTCCTTGCGTTTCCTAGGCAGTATCACTACAGAAGTAGATTGCTCCATCTTCCTTCCGAGGAGTGGCTGGTGGGTTTGAACCACCAGCCTTCTGGTTAGCAGTCAAGTGCGTTAGGCACTACACTACCAGAGCTCCCAAAAAGGCTGTTGTTGTTATATGGCATTGAGTCAGAACCAACTTGTAGTGACCCCTCCTTGGGTTTCCGAGGCAGTATCACTACTGAAGTAGATTGCCTCATCTTCCTTCCGAGGAGTGGCTGGTGGATTTGAACCACCAGCCTTCTGGTTAGCAGTCAACTGCCTTAGGCACCATGCTACCAGAGCTCCCAAGTCTGTAAGAACAGGGAAAAACACCTGTTACCAACCTTCTTAGAGAGTGCTCCTTCCAATGTCCTAAGCCCTAGTCATTGTAACCTCATCACTTTTTGCAGAGGCTGTAAGGGCCCACAGGTGACTCCTTTGGGGGACTCTGGCTCCATTATGTTTAGATGTCTGTATTTCCTTTTAGACAGTTTGCTCCTTGAGGGCAGGCTTTGGACCTACTTCTTTCTGCTCTGTGAAATAAAATTATACATTTTGTTTTATGAAAACAGAGTTCTCTTTCCCATGACACTAAATTAAAAAAAAAAAAAAAAAAACTCACTGCCATTGAGCCAATTCTAACTCATAGCGACCCCCTTTGGGTTTCCAAGGTAGTAAATCTTTATGGAAGTAAATTGCCCAATTTTCCTTCCACGGAGTGGCTGGTGGGTTTAAACTGCCAACTTTCTGGCACTATGCCACCAGAGCTCCATGACACTAAAGGTCATCTTATCAAATGTTAGAAACCTATGTGCTATATGTGTGTGTGTGTGTGTGTGTATACCTATCCCTGGGAGCTCTGGTGTCGAAGTGCCTAAGGCATTTGACTGCTAACCGAAGGCTGGCAGTTCAAACCCACCAGCCACTCCTCGGAAGGAAGGTTGGGCAATCTACTTCCTTAGTGATATCGCCTCAGAAACCCAAGGAGGGGTCGCTATGAGTCGGATCTGACTTGATGGCAAACACAACAACAACATACCTGTCCCTGGTGGCACAGTGCCTAAAGCATTTGATGGCTAACCAGAAGTTTGACGTTTCAAACCACCAACCACTCCATGGAATGCAGATGCGGCAATCTACTTCCATAAAGATTTACTGCGTTGGAAATCCAATGGGGGTAACTATGAGTCAGAATCGATTCAATTGGTTATATAATATTTGAAGCTTATATTTTATAATATTTAGAAGCAGCTTTCCACTCCTTGGAATGAACACTGGCAATCTACTTCTGTAGAGATACTTCCATCTCATTGAGGGTCTTCCTCTTTTTCTCTGACCTTCTATTTTACCAAGCCCCGGAAACCTAAGGAGGGGTTGCTATGAGTCGCAATTGACTCGATGGCAGTGAGTTTGAGTTTGTCTATTTTCACTTAATTGTGCTTAGGTGATCAAGCTCACTGAAACACTTGAAACTTGTTCTTTCAGAAAACAATTGAAGATTAGTGAACATGTTCTGTTTCTAGAACCCCAGAAGTCTTGTAATTATGGCTCACTGAGCTTGTGATTGTCTTGGCAATGTTTCTATTTTTCTTTTCTTTATAGTTTTTGAGCACATAATGTCCTCGTAAGATTTATGTATTCAGACATAATTGTCAATCAATCAAAATAATTTTGAAAAGTTCCTGGTGAAATTATGTATAAAAGTACCCTGAACCTTTTAATTAATTGGGGGCACTAATTAAGTCAGTAATGACATGCCCAATTTTAAAGTTGTCTGTCAAACCTTCATGTTGCTGTTGTTGTTGTTATTATGTGTCGTCGAGTTGGCCCCGACTCATAGTGACCCCCTCCTTGGGTTTCCGAGGCAGTATCACTATGGAAGTAGATTGCCCAACCTTCCTTCCAAGGAGTGACTGGCAGGTTTGAACCGCCAGCCTTCTGGTTAGCAGTCAAGTGCCTTAGGCACTATGCTACCAGAGCTCCCTCAACCTGCATAGCAATCTGTTAATGATTTTCTGAGTTGTTTGTTTTGGCAGTTCCAAGACACAAAACTAAATATGCAATGACTGAGTTGACAAATCAATATGTGCAAATACTTACCAGGTCTTATCCTCTCAGGTGGTTTCACTTGGCCAGGAGACACAGAGGGCACTGAGCCTACCCTAATCCCTGAGCTAAACTGGGATGACTGCCTTAAATCTAGTACCTGGAACATAGACTTGAGTCCTGGATACCCACATGAACATCAAGCTACCTCCTTTTTCTTAACCTTTGTTTTTTGAGCCCTCTCCTGCCTCATTTTCCTGATTTGTATCTTTACTCTGACTGTGTCTAGAAAGTTAGGTTGGACCATATTGT